CTGATTGGTTGATCAAGGTGAGATATGAGTCACTTACTCCTGACACTTAGGAATGCAGTCCAGATGTCCATCTGGCACTCCCTAGACAGATAGGTCCTAATGGATGACCATTGATCATGATAGCCAGGCTAAGCTAAGTGCATCCCCCTTTGGGATCTGTCCTAGGAAACCTTATCAAAGGAAACCTTAAATCAGCCTGCATGAATAGTTTCTCTGTGGCTTCACCACAGAGATGAACAGAGAGATGAGGCCTAATTTGTGAAAGCTCGGAAACACTTAATTCTGCCTTATTAATAAGCCTCGCCGCTACAGCACCAAGAACCAATTTTTAGGCAAAGATGCGGGAAGGCACAGATCAGGGGATGGGTATAAAAATCGTCAAGACAATTATTAAGAAGTGGAAGGTGTGTGGCACCACCAAGACCATCTCTAGATCAGGCTGCCAGTTATAAGACTGGCAAAATATTTTGCAGTCTTACAACACTAAAAAAACAACTTTTTGTTCTAACTGCAAGTACAGTATTACATTTGGCACAAACCTAACACGACACATGATCCAAAGAACACCATCTCTACTGTCAAGAATGATAATGGCAGCAACATCTTACTGGGATGTTTTTTTGATGGGCAGGGACACTGGGGACCTTTCAGGATAAAAGGGAAAATGAATGGAGAACAGCACAGAAAAGTCCTTAAAAAGGAAAATCTGCTGTCTTCTGCAAGAAAGCTGAAACAGGGACAGAAGCTCTCCTTTCAGCATGACAACGACCCAAACCTGCACTGGTGAGTGGCTCAACATCCTTGAGTGGCCCAATCAGAGTCCTGACCTAAATCCAGTGGAAAATCTATGGCAGTACTTATACTTCTGAAGGAACTTGAATGAGCTTGAAGTTTTGTAAAGAAGAGTGGTCAATTATTGCCAACCTAGGAGTGAACTGTTCGTAGAGACAAATCCCAAAAGACTCACAGCTGTGATTACTGCCAAAGGTGGTTACACCTAGTACTAACTGAGGAGGGTGTATACGTATCCAATTATGATATTTTGGTTTTGTATTTTTCATGTAATATTTCCTATTTAAAACATTTCATCCTTAAAAATGTGGATTATGGTATGTACATAACAGAAAAAAAAACAATTACAATGCATGAAATTTTAAGGTACTGACAACAAAATGTGAAAAAATACAAGGGGTTATATACTTTCAATACGCACTGTACCACATATACTTCCTGTACACCTGTCTAAACATGATATAAGAGACAATTCACATTAATACAAAGATTTATGCAGTAATTTTAATAGTTTATTATCACAAAACAATCATTGACTGGAAATTTAACATTGTAATAAAAGTTAAAAAACATTAAAACTGATCATCACTTTATCCTATTTAAGAACAACGTTTTTTCTGTAATAAAACCAACTTTGAACCTGAAGCAACAACACTGTACTCCACTATATAAAAATAATCTCTTTTCAAAATGTAAAATATTTACCTTGCTGCCCTCTTGAAATTTTAGCTCTGAAAATTGCATTGCATACAGTTAGTGTACAAAATTCTCTTGAATATGTTGGAATATTTATGTTGATCTGCAGTTATCTTTATGAAAAATCATCTTGGAGAGTATACTGGGTAGCGGATATTTTAGCGAAAACTAAAAAGGATGTAAGATACAAGAAAAGAGAATTGCACACAGAAATTTAACATGCTATTAATTTTTATGGGTTAGAAAAACAAAGAATAATTTCAAAATTGTAACGTACTCACCTATTAAACTGCAAAAGTACTAAGACATTATTGTCTGTTTTTCCCCAATTTGTTACTGAATGTGAAGACAGTGAGTCATGTTTTTTTTAGCATAACATTTGTTAGCAGTACCAGTGCCTTATGTTACAAATATGCTTGGTTGACACAAAGCTGTCAAATCAAAATATACTCCCTTTTCCTGCAACAATATGATACAGCAGACAGTTCTTATTCTCCCCCAAGAATTCGAAAGTAATTTTTACTTCACACCAGAAAACAAGCAAATTTAAATTAAATTAAAAACTACTGTGCACAGGAACACAGCTATGTTAAAACCAGAATGCATATTGATAAAGGTAGTTTGTAGCAATATTAGCTGTTTGCAAAATAACCAAATCTGTATCTTTCCATTTCTTAATAATACATTTGATCAATTTATGCAGTTTAGCAAATCTCATATTATTACGATGTTTAAGTATTAGCTACAATGAAAGTGCAAGTATTTCTTGTTATAAAAACTTCACAAATGTATAGAAAACTACATTTGTAGTGACTGGTATAAATCCACAATGAGAAAAGAAAGAACCCAGCACTAATTCTTCAATGAGGTGAACAGTATAAAATAGATGTCATAAAAAAGAGAGATATCACAAAAGACACTTCAGCTCCTGAATTGCCTAAGATGGATCTCAGAAGACAAAAATATTTAAAGTATTCTGTGAATGTCCAAACTGCAGATGAAGGTTTTCACTAACAGGCAAAACAAAACATTAAACCACAACAGGTCTCTTGGATTTCTGGTGTCTCCTGAAAGCCTTAAAGCTTTTAGGTGACCTTGTGTGGGACCTGATACAGTTTTCCATGTTCTTCAATCACAATTCTTAGATACAACTATCTATTTACTAATGTTAACAATATTTGCAGTCCTGCTAAGCTGAACTGGCATACGACTTGAGTAGTTGAAAACTGCAATTTAATTTTGTAATAAGGGGCAATTCAAAGGAAAGTTCCAATCTTCAAAACAAATTATACTGTATATGACCAAAAGTAGGTGTGGAGTACAATCAAAGTAACACATCAAACAGGTGTGATTCACTTTTATTTTTACAATGTAAACTAACCCGCTCCGGAATTTCCATACTAAAGGTTCTCCAGAACAATTTTTTCCATTTAGCTCAAGCACAGAAAATTCGCAGTACATTAAGATGCATCAATTCCCAGAGCGTTATATATTAAAATAGCTTTTAAAGCCTATATATATATATGTGTGAACTACACAAAAATATACATGCAATAAAACTTCTAGGGATTGATAATGGTACAGTGGAAGCAAATTGACATCAGTTGCTGTTGTTAGAAGTATGTCTACAAGTTACACCTGCTAGTTAAAGTAACTAAATAACAAAACTAAAATATCATTACTGTTTTTGGGGCCAAACAGTTGAAACTAACACAAAAACATTAATAAACACTGTCCATAGTCCAAATAGACCAAATTTCTATTTTTTTTTTTATCTTCCCAGTGGTTTAAACTGGGGATGGGAGAATCAGGAAGAAGAGGCTCAGGAATTTTAGAGCCAAGGCCTCTGTTTGTTGCGGGCCATTAACAAAAGCCATAATGTGTATGAAAGACACATAGAGATCATGCCACTAATAAAATCTGACAAGTGTGCAAGAGCTGGCAAGAACTGAGGAAGTCCTCCACAAGCAACTGAAAAAGCAGGGGTTAACTCTAGCATATACTGTATATAGGGATCAGGTCAAATCATGCCACTGCAAGACAAGTAGCTGTGGGATACTTGTTGAAAGAGGTGCAGAGCTAGAAACAACCACAAGAGTGACTACTACAACTGCTTCAAGTAATGGTATGAGAACTTGCAATATCAAACACTCACAGACTGACCACTGTCTCACAGAGTATTTGAAGCTAGTATTGCTAGTACTTGAAGCAGTTTCTATGTTTTTAAAACCAATTTTAAAAGGAGAAAATAGAACTTAGTTTTCCCAATTTAAAACAATTCCACGACAGCCCTTGTCCTGTGTCTGGTTTAAGTTTTCTAAGAAGTTTTATTAAAAAAGTAATTATTTTATGGTTATTGAACTTTAAAGTAACTGCTCTGGATGAAAACCAAATTTCTCTTGTGGATCCTTACCTATTTTTAAAGAAATATTTTTGCTGAATAACTAAAAAGAAACAACAGACAACTAAAGTCTGTCTATTCAGGAAATAATTTAATTAAAATGTCATCATAAAACCTGAAAATTAACAGTTTACCCCTCGAAACTGAACTCACAAATGGAAGACTGTTTTGTCTCTGATTGCCATATTTTTTAAAAGAACGGTGAATTTTTTTTTAATTAGAGTGGTTTTGTGACTTTGTCCGTGTTGAAGCGGGAGATATAAGCCTCATAGATGGTATTCAGGAAGGAGGGATCATTCTGAAAGAAAGACAACCATACAGTTACTTGAATAGCTGTTAAGTGTGATAAAGGGTTATAGAAATGCTAGATCACGCTAACCTTAGCGCACGCTTTACAATGTAAAAAGCAAATTCAAACATTACTCTCCCTTCCACACATCACCAAAAATAATTGGGGCTTTAGCTTATTTTTTTTAAGAACAGTCTAAAGCACTATGCTCTGCCACATAACTTCTAGACTGCTCTTTTCAAAAACTGAAAAGCACAAGTATTGGCATACTGAAGTGAATATTTAATTTTACTAATGAAATTCACATTTTCAAATTAAAAGATTAATAAAAGAAAATGTATAGCATTTCATCTTTTGTCTGTGCCTATGATTTTGCATACATACATCATTTGCAGTTACTCTCTTTTTTCACACTTTTGCCTTCCCGTCACCAGTGTAATGTGATGCACTTTTGTCCTAATACACTTTTCACTTTTGCTCTTATCCTAACGATAAAAGCTTTTTTCTTTTAACTTATAGAAAAAGAGCATTTGATATCCTAAATAGAGCCCACAGGAAAGCAACGGGATTGCACTACTGATTTTCTTGGAAACTGGAATAATTACAAGTGACCGATCATCTCATGTCAATTTGCATGAAGCCTGGGTTTTCAGAGTGTTCCAAGCCCGACACAATTGTGACTATAAAACTTTACACTCTCAAGGCAACCTTCTATTTCTGCTCTGAAAACTCCCGTCCCCTTCTCTGCTACGACAGTAACTGAGCCTCAGTAAATAATGAGTGACTGACACACATGAGGAATATATAATGCGCTCTAGGACCCTTCAGGAAGAAAGCGCAGTCATTCTCTGACCTTGATGAGGTGTAGAAGCGTGCACTGGAACTGGCTCCTGGTGAGAACACTGGGTGAGAGAGAGAAGGTCTCATCCAGAGGCTGAGAGGATAGCAGGCTACTGGAAGGAGGGCAGCGGTCAGCCCCTGTACCCAGGCCAGACCTGTTGCTCTCTGAGCTCTTGGTCGACTTGGTCTGGGTGAACACCATGGGTGACATGAGCAGCGTAGGAGCTACGGTGGCTGGGATCCGCTGAGGAGAAATCACCTGATTGACAGAGAAATGTTCTGTGAGGCACTCTTCAGGGAGTAAAGTACTGTACCAGGCTGCATGACTATGGGGTCAAGTATTCTGAAGGTGTGAACTGTGCTGGGGTGAACATTCACTGACATAAACTCAATACATCAACTTTCAGAAACATCACTCCTCTACATTTTCTGCAGGTACTTCATGACTGGAGAGGATGAGAAAGGTCACTTGGCTTTAACAAGTGCACGGTCCTTATTCCATCTTGAGCTGCTGTAAGAGTATTAACAAAGGGCAAATTGCTGGGAAGGGGGAGGGGGGTTATAAAATTTAAATAAATGAGTGATTCCCACCAGTGACAATAATAAAAAATACAGGATTTCTGATCTTCTACTACAATCACACTTGGACATAAAAAGATCCAGTGAAGTTTTCAAAGAACTGAGAGTTCTGCCACTAAAAAAGTCAAACACTGCATGTCAAGAAATAAAAATGTGTTAATTCATACATTCCAAGCATTTCAGAAAACAAAATGAACACCAGACTTAAACCGGTGCTCACATGTTATGATTATGAGATTTCGTTTTTTTATTTCATTTTATTCTATATGTCTTATTAATAAACAAAACTAATGGAAAAGTAATTAATTACAGTTTAGATAATGTTTTCATTCAAATCTTGATGAAACCCTACAAAAACAAGGATCGTGCTTCAGGCATTAACAAGTTACTTCCTTCTTCCTAAAAACAAGCGTTCAGATAGCTGTTTTATGATTTATCAGCCTTAACGATTTTCATTTCATAACTGACTTCAACATCAGTTTCGACAGATGAGAATCTTTAGTGGAAATGGTCGGGCTGCACAAACAGCAAAACGCATCTCATTGAAGGTTTACAGCCGAACTACCTAAACAGATTATTTTTCCACTAGAAAATGTATACCGATTTACTCTCTTTCATTAACGCTTTAAAGAAAGACAAACAATGGCCTTGGGTGACGCTACGTTATCATGAAACGAACCTTTTTTGAAAAAGATTTATTCTGGTTACAAAGAATATGAAATCAGTTACGTGCTTCTCCAATACCTAGTGACTGTTCTTACTTATCGCACTGTTACCTGGAACAAAGGGTTGGGTTTCTCGGACACTGCAGAAGAGGTCTTGTCTGCCCAGCTGTCCAAGGGCCTGGAGGTCTGGTTGAGGGGCTCGTGGAAGCGGGCAGCCAACGCTGGCCTGGCAGCATCCATGCTCTGCTCCTGCTGGACCAGCTGCAATCTGTGCAGCAGCTCATGGGGGGAAACCACCCCCGAAACTGAATGCTGGGGGGTGGCGGCCACCAGCGGTGGTTTGCTGGGGCTAAAATAAAGCGCCTGGGACTGGTGGGCACCACTGAAGCTCAATGGCTCTGCACGGTCCGGCTTGACTATGGGGAGTCTGTGCAGCAGGTTGGGTGCGGTCTGGAGCTGAGGAGGTGGGTGAGCGCAGCAGGGAGCGGGAGGCTGGAACAATCTTTGCAGTGGGTCTCTGCTCGCACAGGGGGCCACTGCGGGGGGCTGCAGGCCCCCGTTTTCACACAGCCGGTTTTCGGGAGACTCTGAAACTGGCTGCAGCTCCACAGCCCCGCGGTGCGTCATCAGCTTCTGGATGGCAGGACAGTGCTGAGGGGGGCTGCCCACCGCTGTCTTGCCCATCACTTGAGCTGGCTCCTCATAGGAGAGGGATCGTGCCACGGCAGGGCGACCCCCAACTTTACAGCCAGCCGCCTGCGCCCTGTTGTCGCCTGCACCTGGGGAGACAGGCTCCTGTTTGTCTTGCACTCCAAAGAGGGCAGCGAGGGATAAATGCTTGGGCTCAGTCTCACCGTCCTTTAAGAGAAGATAAGACAAGACAAGCTATTTACCATCAACAAGGTGTAGCATGTTTTACCAACTGACATGGCTATTATGGTTATATTATGGAATTAACATGGCTATAGAACATGGCACTGATGGTTAGAAATCAAGAAAACAGCCCAGTATGGAGAATTGCCCCAGAAAATGTTTCTCAAAGAGTCTAAGATTTATGCTTCAATGCAAAAAGAACTATCATTCAACTGTGAAGACAAAGCACCACCTTTAAGGTACACAGTGGAAAGAGGAGATAACGTGCAGTGTTCCTTTTCCCTTCCAGTGCCTTAAAAAGGACTACATTTCAGTGTCTTCCTCATGAAAGTTAATATACTTTAATAAATTCTCCAATAATAGTGATGAAACAGATTATCTGGTAGCATTAAAGGACAGAACATTTTCCACAGATTTAAAGCGGATGACTGCAAACGAGAACAGATTACATTTTAAATCTAATTGAACCCTTTCTAATTAAATAGAGAGTTACTGAAAAAAATCAATGCATATTTTTTTAACACATGAATGACAGGACAGGTAAATGAAAAGTGGACTATAATATTATACAAATTATAAAGTGGACTACAGTCTCAGAATGAAACACTGGTTGGATCCCCAGAAAATCCTAGAAAGTGCTAAAAATCTGCACCCATTTTGCATACACTAAAGATTAATGGCTCTTCTGCAAGTCCCAAGGCAGATACAAATACCTTGGGGAGCTGCTGAGAACTGTAGGCTCTTTCAATGGGCTTTACGGGGATCGGCTTGATCAGGTTGGGGTTGTCATAGATCACACTACTGCCAGCGATCTCCTTCGGCTCAGGCTTACTCTACGAAAGGCAGAGAATTTAATGAGGGCAAAGATCACAAGTCATTATCAGCTCCTGTTTTCACCGCTCAAGAAGATCAATCAAGTCTTGCATCTTGTTATGACGGCTCCATCCTGTGGCAATAAGCACTGTAACCGTCACAAAATTAAGAAATCTGCACTGATGGGACGGTGCGGTGGCTCTGTGGCTAAGGATCAGCGCCTGTGGCTGGAAGGTTGCCGGTTCATATCCTGCAGCTGGCAGAGGAATCCTACTCCGTTGGGCCCCTGATCAAGGCCTTTAACCCCAACTGCTCCAGGGGCGTCGCATAAATCGCAAACCCTGTGCTCTGGCCCCAATCTTCTCTCCCTGTCTGTGTGTCTCATGGAGAGCAAGTTGGGGTATACGAAAAGACAAATTCCTAATACAAGAAATTATCTTATATAATGTCTTTTCAAAAGCAAATATTCCTGAAATGTCATTAAAAATAACACCAAGCATTAAGAGGAAAGAAGAACAAAGGAGAAGAGGACCTTCTCAAAAAAGAAAGAAGAAAACAAAGAAGATTACAAAATATGATGAAGCAGAAAATATCTTGTAAACTGCTGCTATGCCTTATTAATCCCAGACAGTTAATGCTCAATAAGGAAGCAGGTATCCTATCAGCATTTTCACAGGATAAGAACCTATGGCTTTGGCCAAGCTAAGAAAAGGTTCAGGAATGCATTTTCTTTTTTATTGGTTTGGCTCTTGCAATGTCAAGGTAGTGAGCCTCAGTCCCTTAACACTCACAGTGAAAATGTACATTACTAACGAACAAGAGGAGGACATCTGGCCCATCTAACCTATTTGGAGGTTAGTAGTTAACTGTCCAAGGATTTCATCCAGCCTAACTTCAGAAAAGTTAGGGTATCAGCTTCAACAACATGGCTAAGTAACTTGTTCCAGACTCCCACAACTCTTTGGGTACAGAAGTGTCTCCTGTTCTTGTTTTAAAATGCACTTCCATCTAGTTTACACTTAGAGTCCTCCACTTCATGTTTCACTGTTCAGTGAAGAAATCTGCTGTGTCGACTGTCAGTGCCATTTATTTTGAATATTTTTTTCTTTTGAAGCCTTTTAGTGTAGGATATTTCCTGAAGCCCCAGGATGTAGATTCTCTGGACTGATCCCACAGAAGCAATGTCTTTTCGATGACCCAAATTGTACACAACTGTATAAATGAGGCATTGCTAGTGCATCATACAATCTTCACATAACATCCCTTGCTTTAACTTCTATGCTTTATATATCCTATTATTTGTTAGTTTTTTAATTGCTTCTTCACATTGTCTAGAAGATGTAAATGAGTTGTTAACATAAACACTTGGGTCTTTTTCATAAGAATGAGACAAAAGACAACTTCACAAGTTTTTTTTTTACATGGTGCTTCTTCCTTGTTGTTCTCAACAACCTTTATAAAACTACATGGGGCTCCAATGAGAAGCTTATAACCTACTTTAATGGGAAGCAAATCTCTGCTATTTTTTGTAAATTGGTTCCTCAACACTAGCCCTACTCCAAACACTTCTTGACTTTTGGTACAAAAGTTAATTTTAATACTTTAAAATCTTTTTTTTTCATATGCCTTAGAATCCTCTCAGTACAATTACAGAGAAATGAAGTTCTTTTTAGAATTTTATGTTTATGTTAAAAATAAAACAATACTAAATACTTACAGGAATGTAATTTACTCCTTATCAGCTGAGATACACTGTTCTTGGAGCTGAGGGTATCAGTTGACACTAGTGCCACCTAGTGGTATACTAGTAATTAAACCTACCTTGTCATACTCATCCCTGGCCTTGTTCAGCATCTGGAGGATGTCGACCCCTTTACTGTCCCCTGAGTGCAGAGCTTTGGGAGACACGCCTCCCCCATGCTGAGCTTTCAGTTGTTCTTGCTGCGTTAAACTGGAGGAGGAGGAAAGTCACCAGAGCATAATCCATCTAGTATAAACATACTGCACAGAGCTGCAAAGTCCTGAGGCTAAATGTACACTGTTGCTGCACATTTGTAAGAGTGCATTTTACAAAATCAAACTATACCGCCCTGCAGTGCAGAACGCACTTGATTGCCATATAATTATCATTTGCTTGAAACTGTCTCTATACCACAGAGCCAATTTCAGAAATAATACTCTCAATTTAGCCTCCTGAGCCACTGCCTCACACAGAACAAGAAGGAGAAGCACTACAGTGTCTGAGGAAACACTAAAACATCATTGATTGTTAAACACTGTATAGGTAATTTTATCTAAAGGGTAGACATACACCTTATAAATGTGTACTATAATGATTAAATGAGACATGAAGATGAATAATAATATCAGTTCAGGTGGGTAGCTGCATCAGCATGCGTGCATAGGCTGCAAAGGAACAAGTAATAGGTTTATTCCATGCTGAAAAGAGAAGAAAGAAAACACAATGTTTCGGCTGTGGAGCCTTCTTCAGGTGTGAGAAAGATAGCGCAGTCAGCAAAGAACATATAGTGTTGGAAAACAAAACCCAGGAGAGAGGAGGCGGGAGCAGGGGAGAGGCAAAGTGGCCAATCAAGTGGTGCGAGGTCGCGAGAGGGGAGGAGAGGTGTGAAATGAAACCTGCACATGAATAGAGAGAATAAGAAGGAAACAAGTCTATCGTTGAGAGAAGGGGGAAGGTGTGAACCAAGTTTCAGGATAATTTTAGTTTCTGATGTCCTTCTGCTGTCGAGTTAACAAACCCTACTTTGAGAACGCAGACGGAGAGATCAGTGTGATCATGGCCGTCAGAGGTGAAAAGATCTTCAATCTTCACAGCCTGCCCAATTTTGGCAACCTACTGTATAGTAGGTGTGTTGTTGGGAGTTCAGTAATCTACCAAACTGATTTAATTGAGAACCCCAGTCTCCTTGTACTGGTGGAAGGCAAATTCAGTGGCCCAGATTTTTTCTGTGTCATGTTGTAGAGTATAAAGTTATCCCACAATGATGCAGCACATTATGATCTGCAGTTTGGGATAGTATTTTTTTTGTTCTGCTCTTGATTTTCCCTTGAGGTTAACAGGCTTTATTTTAAGATTTAATATTGCAAAAAATTGTAATGGCCTAATTTTTTTTAATGGTCCAGACAGTGACAAGTGCACATTTGAAAAGTGTATATATATATACATTGTATTTCTTAAAAAATGATCCACTTATTTCAATCAAAGACATTTAAGTTCAAATTTACACATTCTCCGTGGCTTCTATTAATGTCCTATAATCTACAGAGGGGAATGCTTAAATGATCTGATTAAGACGACAGCAAAAGATAACAAATGCCCACAGGTGTTTCCTGGAAAAACTAAAAATAACACCTATATTTTAGGAGGCTGTAACTGATAAGATTAAGGTTATCTCATCTTTCACAGTGTAGCAACAAGACCAAACCAAAGACACTGTATTGTGTGGCTTTAAAGTACAGAGGATAGGGAAAGGAGAGCAAATAAACAATTGCAAAACCTTATTGTGCCTTGCAAGTATTTAGCTAGATCCCATGAGTGCTGAATCATCATTCTTCCATAACAGGTAGGCTCTAAATTAATATTCTGACACAAAAATGAACGTCAGGAATGTTCCCCCATGCTGAGACTTTGACAAGCATAACATTTTGTGCAAGGCATGTAAATGGATTTCTGATCCACTGTTGCCAAGGCATGTATAATACAGAACACCATCACCTCCTAACCACTGATCCAGATTTTGAGCGAGCATTTGAAAAGAAGAAAGATTAAGTGGGAGAGTGTGGAATGAGACACAGTAACAGGATGACATGATCTTTGGATGGATCACACCACAATACTTCTATAGCTGTGCATAAACAAGAAGTACTGTGACAGCAATTCAAATATTTATGGATATGGACTGGCTGAAAGATGACACAATACAATGTAGAGCTACAAACCGGTGTAATAACTAGATGCAGACAAACAATACATTTGAAATGAACGTACTTCTTCATTAGCTCAGCAATCCGCTGACAGTCCTCCTTGTCATAAAACCAGATCCCATAAATGGACACTGGAAACAAAAAATAACAGACAGATTCTGGTTATAACAGCTCAGGGGACAGGACAGATCTTGATGTTATTTTCAACAAATTCAATTTAATGGTAATATTAAAGACAGAGAAGAACAAAATGTACAGTATTTGGAAAATGTTCAGGTGACAGAGCTGCCCCAAGGGGCTTATCAGCTGGAACTCTTAGGCAGGGATGGAGAGGGCGGGGTCGTAGCCGGGGCTGGAATTTGGAAAGCCATGCTGCTGAGAGGAAAGGCGAAGCTGATCGGGCTTGGGTCAAGAGCGTCGGTGACAAGCAGACAGTGAACATTTCCCCACACCTCCTCAGATAAATCTTGCAAACAGAAGTGAGAGAGACAGGGCAGCCAAAAAATGTGGAAGATAAAAGAGAAAAACAAAGCGGGCAAGTAGAGGGGCTGAGGCGGCAGATAACTTAAGAAATATCCTGACAAAGGCAGACCGATACTGCCAGCGGACCTCTGAAGAGGTACAGTGCCGTGTAACGTCGCCAGCTTCGTGAACCTCAGTTGTGTGGGATTCTGCTCCTGAACACCGGCTTGGTCACGCTTAAGGATTACATGAAATTGTTTCTCTGACTGAAACTGGCACAGAGTTTTTTATATGACACATGAATACAGAAAACCAGGTGAGAGGGCACAAAGGATTCTAAGGATTTTGATTTGTGTTCTTCATTATACACCACAGTGGTGATAGATCATGTTTCAGAAGGCATTCACCCTGCATAGAAAGCCCAGGCACCAGCGCTTGCCACCAGAGCCAGATGCCAAATACAAAGGAAAACTTGTGTCCGAGACGCAACTCAACTATACCTATGTCCGCCCTGGAGGTAAGATCATTGCTAATTACAGACTATTCTTGAAACTATATTCTCTAATGTTCTAGAATGTGATTTGTGGCTTTTTTACTCCTTTTACAAAGTACAATTACATTTTGCACAACACAGTATTTGAGAACAGATTAGATGTTTTATTCTAACTTACAATAAGTTATTCTATGAAGAATGTCTTTTTATCACTTTTCAAAGGGATTGTTAAGTCTTTCTATTAAGTCTTATGTCACTGAAATCAGCATGAAATTATGTTTAGCGGTTCAATTACAAAGACACTCTGCCACAAAAATATTCCTTTGCTAGGCCACTCTAGGTTACCGAGTATAAAACCATCTGATTACAAAGGTCTAAAAAAAGGCTTTTTTAAAAAACCCTTACAGGTGTTGCCTCTGAAGTTCTGAATGAATGGTTATTTTAGGGATGTCAGAATCTCAGTTAAAATATCCCAGTTAATTAAGAAAGACAATCTCAAAACATGAAGAAAACGTAAAGGGTAGCTTGTCATTCAGTATGACTCGTGATTTCGAGGTGAAAAAAAGCAAATCGCTGGCAAGTGCCCCAGTAGAAATTACTTGCACTTTCTACCATATTTAGACTCTGTGATAAAACTGAAAATGCCTCTATGTGTCAACTTAAACAGCCCCAGCCCTCTAAATAGGAGCAAATAAAATACAGTTACTTGAATTATGAGATCTATCAATTAATAATGAGGCTGCCACTTACTGCAATACACCACAGCCATTTAAGTTCATCATAGTGAATCAAGACTTACAGTGGGCACTGCATGTGAAGGGGCTTCATGTGTATTTGAGAACTGTCTTTATCTTATCTCGGTTGGCTTGGTTTCTGGTGTTGGCAGGACACTCAAGAGAGAAGCCCAGACACGCAAGCTCACTGCCCACCAAAATACCTTTGCACCATAAAAGGAGACGAAAGTCCTTTATGAGCAAACTGGTCTCAAGCTACTATGATTATCACCAATCTCCCTATTTTTATATGTATTTGAGTGCTTTATGCTTTGAAAAGAAAATGAGACTTAAACGTTTTGCTCAATTCCTCTTGAAAACTTACAAAAGGGAAACATTCCTATTTTTTAAAATTTATCACCATCTCCTTCTGACATATTCTTCATTCATTATCGTCCTCCTTATTAAGCCACAAACCAATTCTTCCAACCAGTTTTATGATCTGTAAAATCATGTTATGTGCCTTTAGCCATTAGCTGTTTTTCAGAGACGTTTCAAAATTCCTTGTAACATTTTATGGATATTCTACTTGGTTTTGCATGGGTATAGTGGGTACTGGGTACAGTGCTGGTCATTTCCAGTTTTCTTGTGCTTTTCCGTTTCAGATCGGGGCGTGGTTCCTTCTGACTCATCTTTAATTTTGTACATCCTTCTACTTAATTTCCGCACTTAAGAGAATAGTCTTCAGTCTTGTCTGCTGTGAAAGCAGGTGTTGATTATAAAGGGCTGCAATCATCACCATGCAGAACACCTCTGTAACCGTTCATCCGGCTCCTTTTCACCTCACAGGTTACACTCCTGGTGTGCTGCAGCTACATAAATGGCTTTGGTGGTGGATAAGGGAGATAAAATGCCATGTCAAATCGCTGGTGTTCTCAGCAGGGACACTAAAACCCCATAAAAAAAGTTTAAAATAACCTGCTTGTCACAGACTTTTCCCATATTAAATATATAACCTTGACGGTATTTACAGCATTTCTGAAATGTGATTTGACAGCCGGTGGACCCCGTCAGTAATTTTATCAACCTGCTACAGAAACACATCTTGCAGCACTAGAAAATTTGTATCTGGGTGCATATTTCTATCCTTCCATGGTAACAGTTTTGAGCAGATTTCAACATGTATTCAAAGTGTATTACTATAAAGGAACAAGTAATAGGTTTATTCCATGCTGAAGAAAAGAAGAAAGAAAACACAACGTTTCGGCCGTGGAGCCTTCTTCAGGTGTGAGAAAGACAAGGCAGTAGGCAAAGGTAATGTAGCAGGAGAACAAAGGCTGGGAGAGAGGAGGAGCGAGAGGTGGGAGCAGGGGACAGAAAGAGAGGCCAATTAAGAGGTGTGAAGTCAGAATAGGTGTAGAGAGGTGTGAAATGAAACCTCTAATGAATGAAGAAAATTTAGAAGAAAAGTAGTATGTCGTTAAGAGAAGGGGGAAGGTCTGACCCTAGCTGCAGGATAATTTTGGTTTCGGTAGTCTTTCTGATGTATGAGTTTGGAAAACCATCTTTGAGAACACAGACGGAGAGATTAGAGTGGTCGTGGCCGTCAGAGGTGAAATAAGAAACAACAGACTTGGAGAGATCTTTAATCTTCACAGCCCTGATGTGTTCTCTGAAGACGGCCCCGACGGCCATGACCATTGCAAACAATGTTGTGTTTGCTTTCTTCTTTTTTTCAGCATGGAATAAACCTATTACTTGTTCCTTTGCAGCCTATGCATGCTGACGCAGCTACCCACACGTATTACTATATGTCGTTTAATTATTATATTGCTATTAATTTCTCCAAATTTAATTTAGGAATATGGTGCCCGATAATGTCTATATTCCTCACTAAAGAGTTCATGCACCAGTCTATGCATATGGACTGTGTGTGGAGTAAATAGAAAGACCATGTTTTTCTTCAGAGTGCCCCAGCCATTTTTGAGGATTTTTTTTTGGATGGACTTACAAGCTTCTTGACCTTTTTTGCTAGCAAAAAAAATGAATAATTGTTTCCAGCAGTGTTAATACATTTTATCACATACTTACAACGGGCATTCCTGTAGAGCAGGAAAGGGTCCTGCAGCTGAAAGTCCAGATCCTTGGTTATTGGCTCAGTGAGGTTGTCCATACTCAGGCGATTCATTATGGTGAAGCCATGCCTGGGGGAGGCAGACCTAAGACCAGAATAAAACAGGAAAAATCAGGGCAAAATTTCATTGTGTTGTTTGGAGCTCTAAGCATAAGGCAATGGATCAAGTTAAAAAGTCCTTGCAGAAATTCTTTAAAGACAAACATGGATTTAAAAATCAAAATTTTGTACAGCACTGGGTTTAACATGCACATGAGATCTTCACTTTTTAAGGTGATCTATCCTGCATCCAAGAAATGAAGAAAAACAGACTGGTGTAGAGTGTTTGTGAAAGCCAAAACATAAACAGTAGGAGAGTAACCCCGGCAGTGTCCTGGCCAGATTTCCCCTTGGCCTTTACCAATCATGGCCTCCTAATAATGCCCTTCTATGAATTGACTTCATTACTCTGCTCTCCTCCCCACTGATAGCTGATGTGTGGTGAGCGTTCTGGCGCACTATGGCTGCCGTCGCATCAGGCGAAAGAGTGACGCTTTCTGCCCCACCAACACAACCTACTACAGCAACCTGCTTTTCCTAGTGGATTACAGTCCTAGTTGGTACTAATCACTACCTACATTCCTTGATTTGATTGATCTAACAAGAGACTCTAAATTGTATTTCTAAACTTCTTTTTGTTTTGTTTCATCTGTATCTTAGGATCCATTAGAATGAAACTGTGTCGCTCCAAACAGACTTCACATTGTCATTTGTTCTAGTGTTCCCCCTACGCTGCATACAGTAGGTTGTGTTTTGGTCACAAAATTACACATTTCATTATATTTTGGCATTTGGTGGAAATTGTTTCCTGTTTTTTCCTGAATCATAAACATCTTACAGGTGAATCATAAACATGGGTTTTCGCCGTGTGCTCTGGCTTCCTCCCACAGCAGCAGATTAATTTGGTTAATTATGTTCTGGGAAAAATGGTCCTATTGTGAGTGTGTGCATGTCTGTGCCTGTGTGTGTCCTGTGATGGACTGGTGTCCCATCCAGAGTCTACCTTGCCTTGCACTTGGTGTTTGCTGGGTTAATCTTTGACTACCCTGCTACTATGAATTGGATGAAGTACTCAGAAAAAGGATGAATAGTCCACAGTTATCCTTCCAAAACTGATACATTATGGCAAATCAACTCATAAAGTGAGACGTCGTTATCAGACATACTGTACCTCCCTTACCTTGTATACACAAATAAAGTTCCTTCCACATCAGTCTTTTCCTGAAGAGAAAGGTAACATTATGTTATTAACTCTTAAAACTGGAACTGCTGGATGTGCACTACCTTCAGAAAAAAGATTTGCGGCGAAAAATGAAAAACTGCTTAAATTAAAGCACTACGGCTTAAAGAAAATGACAGAGACCTAAAGAGTAACAATTTGCTAAAAGGCAGGCAAGGAGAAAATGCTTCTATAACACAATTTCACTCTTATTGAGAGAACACATTAAACATAGTGTTATGAAAGCAAACTTCACATAGCCATAGCTATAACACCATCCATCTCTGTCTTCCACTAATTTATTGAATGCAATTGAGCACTTTGAAAACAATTCTTTGCCAATGCTTTTTATACTATCCCAACACACTGCAGTTCTGATTTACAGAGTTAACCATTTGTAGAAACAGGATGTAAGTACTTGTCTGTAACTAGAAAAATGCCTTGGTTAAGTTATTCATAAGTAGTATTAACTATCATTTGCTAAATTGTGCAGTCAGAAGAGATACTGCCAAAAGGAAATTTACCAAACAACATTTTTATGCCTAATAAAAACACTGCAGGACATGGAGAGTGCCAATATAGGTCTGTATCTACAGTATATTTTATATGGTGGGAAAGCAGTCCGATATCTCTGACTGAAAAGGGCAAAAACAATGAAAAAAAGTAAATACCGGTTCTTGGCTTTACTGGATGCCAGCACGGTGACGTGCTCACAGCTCTTGGGTGCATGGTTTAATATTTGTGTAGAGTTGGCAAGTTCATTTCCTGTGGGTTTTGGTTGGGTGCACCAGTTTCTTTCCACCTTCTAGAAACATTCTGGCTCACTTTAACCAGTGCCTCCCAGTTGTCCCTGTGTGCTTGTGTGTTTGTCTTGTGTGTGTGCCACGTGAGACCTAGGCCTCAGGGTGGTACTGATCGT